AAGAAGACCATACTCTTAAGTGAAACAAATCAGACACACATTTAAACACTGCATTGTTTTTCTGATGTGAAAAACCAAAAGAAAGGAAGGGACAAAAAAAAGAGGAAAAGAAATGAGAAGAAATGTTCAAATAAGAAGGGGAACAAGGGAGGAGCAAGTACGAAAGAAAGGAAGGGACAAAAAAAGAGGAAGAGAAATGAAAGGAAAAAATGGAAACAAACGTTTTATAAATAAGGAGGGGAAAAGCAGTTGATGGGAGGGTAGGAATGGGGAAGAAGCAAGAGATATCATGTACAGTTATAAATTCCCTATGATAAATGTTACCATTATGTATAACTAAAATGTACCAATAAAAAAGATAAAATGAAATAAAAACAAAAATAAAAAAACTAAGGACATCTCTAAGAATTAAAGCTTTCCTAATAATTTAAAATTTGGATATTATCAAATTGTTTTCCAAAGAGGGAATATCAATTTATACTCCAGCTAATAAATAGTGTATAAGGTGAATGAGAAGCATTCCTATATAGTAAGTAGAGTATAATAAATTCAATGAGAAGCATTCTGCAGTGAAGGTAATTAGCATGTGTTTTCCAGAAAATAATGTAGCATTCTATAAAGAAGTTGAAAAACGAAGACTTATTTGTTAATTCACTGAACCCAATGATAGCAATCAACCCTATGGAAATATTAAAGATTCATAAAAAGATCCATATACAAAGATTTCTCATTTATAACACTGGAAAAACATTAATAACCAATAAAAACATTAGATATTATTATGCGAAGTCCAAATGTTAAAGTAATTTATAGTAGTAATATGGAAAACACTCATGATCCAATAAGTGAAAAGAGAATGTATTCGTCTAAGGGATGTTAGGGGGGAGATGCAGCTTACAAAACAAGACTGCAGCAGCAGCACATCACATAAACTACATACAATGCAGTGTGTGTACGCAAAACAGCCTGAAAGACTGCACACGCATCGCTCCATAGGTGTGATTACAGGTGCTTTTTAAATTCTTAAAATAATGAATTTTCAATGGACAAGTAAAATTATGTGTGTGTATGTGATATATATCAAGTCATTATCTCACATTTTGTTTGTGGTGAGAAAACTTAAAGTCTACTCTTTCAGCAATTTTCAAACACACAATGTATTATTGCCTTTAGTTGCAGTCATAATACACAATAAATATACTGAATTTATTCCTCCTGTCTAACTGGAATTTTGTGGCTTCAGCTCCACCTGGAACCACTGGTAACACCATGCTACTGTTTTATGAATTTACCTTTTTACATTTCAGTAAGGTGCTTTTATGATACACGTGTTTCTAACTTTTTCAAAAATATGCATTAGTTATATATGCTTTAAAATATAAAAATACATTACTTTAAAATAAGAATCAAAGGCCTTTAATAAAAAAGCATACAACCCGAGTACAAAATTTGAACTCAATTTTTAGGATGTAAATTTTACATATGCAACTTAAACACTGTATTTGTTTTTGTCTCAGGAAAAAAAATACACCAAACTGCCATACTAATTGTCTCAGAATTAGAAGTGACTTTTATTTTGCCCTCTCATCTTCAATTTCCATAACAATCAGGGAAGGAGGAGCAGTTTTAAAGTGACAGCCGCGTACCCTTCAAATTAGGCCCACTCAACCACGGTTCTTAAAGTTATGATTCTTGAAGTAGTCAAGAGTCTGGTTTGTGGCAGTTCTAGGATCAGCCACTTCTCTGACACCATGAATGTCTTCTCTTCCCCCAGATTCCTGTGAGTCAGGGGACCCAGGAGCCAAGCAAGACGATCACATACAACAGCAGAAAACTTACTTTGCACTGCAGAATTCTACAGAAGTTCCTTTCTGGTTGGGAGTGGGGTGGGGAACAATAGGAAAGAACTGCTGCCAGCCAATTATCCTTCAAATGTGCCATACACTAACACGCCTCTCCACAACGTACTAACAGGAGCCAGAAAGGAAAATGTTTTACCAGTGAACTACAGATTAGTCGAGACAAATTTAATGACAATTATCGGCTCTTTAAAATCTGTAAGAGAAGTTTTTAAAACTAATTTATACTTAAAATCCTTCTAATAATTAGATGTGTTTTATCAATTAGTTAGCAAAGGATATGCAAAAAAATTACCTCTTCCTTTTCATGGAGCATAATATGCGCTTTAAGACTAGCCACTCTGGAGAACTTCTTGTTACACACAGGGCAAGTAGGGTCTTCCGCATTGTGGGTACATTTATGAAGTGTCAGGTTGAATTCAACATTAAATGTTTGGGGGCACTGATCACATCGATGTGGCTATTTGGGGAAAAAAGTAAAGAAGCCATTGAAATACAATCTTTCCACAGATGCTTATTCAATGAACATTATTACAATGTTAACAAGTACTATAATGTACAGACACTTTGAATTCTCTTCTGGATCTGAGTTAGTACTTCCAAAAGGGACACCATAAAGCTTGACATGATTTCCTAAAGAATTTTTTTTTTTTGAGAATTGGTCTTGCTATTCAGTTCAGACTGGCCTTGAACTCACTATATAGCTTAGGCTGGCCTCAAACTCACAGCAATCTTCCTGCGTTAGCGTCCTAATGATATAAGGGAAAGAAACTCCCAACCTGCTAGATATCCAGTAAGAGTTCGCGTTCTCTAAAATCAAAGAATAAATTTTAGCAACAACGGAGGTTAAGAGAGAAATATATCTATTGGGGGAAAGAAAGCTTCTGTCTGAGACACAGGGGGGGGAGGGGATTTAGCTCAGCCACACAGTGCCTGCCTGGCAAGCACAAGGTCATGAGTTCGATTCCTGGTACCGGAAAAAAAAACAAACAAAAAAGAGAGAGACAGAGGGGTCCAGAATGGGTTGCCAAGGACCTTGCCTTTTCAAGGAATTTTTATAGAGCAAGTCCATGACGTGAGGCGGGTCCAAAATGGGAAAAGTGGGAAATCGCACGGTGGGCATGAGGTGGGACAAAACTATGGTCAACCAATAAGATTAAAATTGCTCAAGTGAAATTGACTACATCAGGATCAAATGGGGAAGCCAGTCAAATAGCAAGTGGGCACAAATATAGAACAGGGGCTTTTCCTATAAGCGGTTAGGTTAGTGGCTCTTCTTGGCTTTCTCAAGGTGACTGTTACGTATTTAGAATCTCAATCCCTGATGTTTATCCTTGGGAAGTATGTGGGCGCATTTGTTTTATCTTTTGTCTTGCAGTCTGGCCCACAGCAGAGGTGCCTGTCTCTCCTACAGTTGGAAGGTATCTCCTCTGTCTTCTGCACTGGCTCCTTTGATGGCCTAGCCCTATCTAACCGCCTGTAATATTTTTATCCAATTTAGCTGCCTATACCACTAAGTGCTGGGATTACGGGCATGTGCCTACAAGCCCAGCTTGAAGAATTATAAGGTAAATACGTATTTGCAGAAAGTATTACTACTGTGAAATGTTGCATACAAATGTATCTGGCTACAGTCTCTATGAAGACAGATGTGAGAAACTTCCACCCGTTACTTTTCCCTTCTGTTTCTCACTGTCACCACTTCAAATAAAATACATAACCATACAGATTTTTAGTGGATTCCAACTAGACGGTATTCTCCTATTTACTGGCAAAAAGCTGATACAACCCCTGCGGTTCTCTCTGAAGTACAGAGACACTAACCTTCAGACTGTTAAGCAAGGACAGCACTGCCTTCGAGCACCACAGCTGCCTGCTACCAGCACAGCTGCGCAGCAGCACATTCTCAGTACTGAGCCCAGGGAGGAGGGCTGGCATTTCTGCCCATCCCCCAGCTTACATTAGCACACCAGAGAAAAGTCAGCACTCACTCTGGAACTGTAGTTTTAACTGCCACTTGCCATCCCTCACTAGAGTAGACACTAATATTCTGGGTTCTTTTTTTCTTTGTTTTATTAAGACACAAACATTCTCGATATATCCACAAGAGGTACTACAAAAAAGGATTCAAAGCTGTACTTAAAATAGTACTGTACAGGGTAAGTTAGGCCGACTCAGTTACATATCGCATGTTTCCTCTATTAGAACACTAAAAAACTGAATAAACAAATAAATACGTGCGAGACGACAGGAAACCAGTAGCTAGACTTTAGAGCTGGAGACTGGGTCAGGAATGAGAGAGGTGCGGGGGAGGAAAAAGAATGATAGGGGTGCGGGGGAGGAAAAAGACAAGGGGGTAATGGGATGAAAAAAGATAAACATACATTAAATGTATGCACCAATTTCCCAAAATAAATCCCACCATCCTGTAATATTAATATGTACAAATAAGAAAATTAAAAATATTTTCAAAAATGACAATCTAGGGGCTGGACACAGCTCAGTGGTGGGATGTGCACATACTTAGTGCACACGAGGCTCTGGGACAGCCCCAGCACACACACAAAAAAAGGCAGCACAGTATTGCTCCCTACTGAGTGACCTACAACATCCACAATGCCACACAACACCACTGGAGGATAAAATGCCTGCTGGAAAGCCAGGCATGAAGGTGCACACCTATAATCCCAGTACACTGGAGGCTCAAGCAGGAAGATTATAGCAAGCTGAAAGCCAGCTTGGGCAACATAGTCAGCTCAAACCCAGCCTGAACTATATAATGAAACCCTGTCTCAAAACAAACAAACAAGCTCTGTTGTTTAGTCGTTTAGAAAACTGAAACTACTGAAAATTTTGAAAATACTTCCACTCATAATATTTGTCCACTCATAAAAAACTTTGATACATGCACTCAGACAGGCCCTCAAAAAAAATGCCAAATGTTTATAGAAAATAAGATACCCTACAATCTAATAATCTTCAGGTAAAATAAATTTAGCTTTCACATACCAACTTTTATAATGACTCATGTTTGTGACACTCCTTTAAAAATACATACCTTGTCATTTCGCTCATGCTCCCTCATGTGGCGTTGAAACTGGGACTCTTTTGGAAAAGACAGCAGACAGATTTCACATTTATGGAAGTTTGGAACTGGACAGTCATAATCAGTGTTCTCCGCATCCAAGGCTAAAACTCCATCTACGAAATTGCGTAAGTACAGACAATAAATGCCAGCTGCTATTCTCACTGTACAAATCAAACTATGTTATCTGATTATCATTTTACAGCCTAATTATGCCAGAGAGTTATGAGAAATTTTAGATGAAATTGATATGTCAAACATTTTTAATGGGCATGTCTTAAAGTTAGAAATGAGATGTATTAAGATGAGTAAGGTGCGACAAAAGCATTGTAAGTATTGGTTGTTAGGATTCCTATTAATCAGAAAACAGTTTCCTGAGGCTTCACAGCCACATACACACAAGCATCAAAATGAGTTTCCTTTTAACTGTGAAGACCCATTTAATTTCTTTCAAAGTCCCTAGGGACAACTTCAGTACATATTAATTCTTTATATTAATAAGATTCATTACATGTCCACACACGCGTACAGTGAGCACTAATCATATCGAGTTACCCTTTTCTCACCCACCTACCCCTGCTCCCTTCCCCTCCTAGTCCTGGTACTCACTATCCTACTTTCAGGTTTATTTTGCTTCTTTTTTTAGTTTCCACCTAGGACAGAGAACAAGCAATATTTGCGGTTCTGTGTCTAGCTTATTTTGCTTACCATAATGCACTCCAGTTCCACCCACTTTGCTGCCCAGGACAGGAAACCATTCTTCTCTACGACTGAATACTATTCCACTTCATACACAGACCACATGTCCTTTATCCATTCATCTGTTCAGGAGCACCTACCTGGCTGATTCACTATCTTGGCTACTAAGACTAGGGATACCGTAAATATGGACATGTAGGTGTTTTCTTGTTATGATTTCATTTCCTTCAGACATATACCCATAAGTGGAATAACTGATCCTACAGTTCTATTTTTGGTTTTTTGAGGAAGCTCCATACTGTTTTTCCATAGTGGCAGTACTAATTTCCATTTCCAACAGGGCATAAAATCTCATTTTCTCCACATCCTCGCCAGCAGTTGTAGTGTTTTAATATTTTTATAATAGCCATTCCACTAGAGTGAGACTATCTCGTTGTAATTTTAATTTGCATTTCTCTAATGGCAAATAATATTGAACATTGTTTCATATATTTGCTGGCCATTTATATTCTTTTGAGAAGTTTCTGTTCAGATCACTAGCCTATTTTGAAACTGGATTACTGGGAGTTCTTTTGTTATCGGGGGAGGCAGAGCAGTACTGGGGATTGAACTCACTCAGCTACATCCCTAACCCTTTTTAATCTTTTGTTTTGACATAGTTTCACTAAATTGCCCAGTCTGGCTTTGATCTTGTGACCCTCCTTAGTTTCCCAAATACCTGGGATTACAGCTGTGTGCCACCACGTCTTACACTGTTAAGTTTTTTTAGTTCTTCACATTTTTTGAGTTCTTTACATTTTTTGAGTTCCTTATATTCTGTAGACTGCATTCTTAAAAGGTAGCTCAAAGAACTTCACAGGATATTTTTGGCACTAGACACTCTCTGTGTCTCCCATGTCTATATGGGTACTTTCTATCACCCTCTACACACATATAAGCACAAAGACAAATACATTTAGCACAATTAGGTAGAAATCCAAGGCAGTTTAACCATATAGTCATCTTACCCACAAAAACATGACTATCACATGCTTTATTTTTTTTTTTTTTAGTTTTTTTTTGGTACTGGGAATTGAACTCATGACTTGTGCTTGCCAGGCAGGCGCTTATGCCACTGAGCTATATCCCTGGCACGTCACATGCTTTAATTATTCACTTTTTCTGCTGCCAAGAGCTCTAAGTTCACTATCAACATCAAACAAAGTGATTACATGATGATCAGAAAATATCTGAGCCAGGTGTGGTGGCATAAGCCTATAATCCGAGCACTTGGGAGGCTGAGGCAGGAGGATTGCTGCAAGCTTGAGGTCAGTCTGGGCTACATACTGATTCAAGGCCAGCCTGAACTATATAATAAGACCCTGTCTCAAAAAACTGAAAAAAAAATATTTGAGAAGCTTTGATTGCAAAAGTAATTTGAATCTAGCTTTGAAACCAATTTAGCTCTTTATAAAAATAAAGACTGCAAATAGTATATAATAGCTGTCCATTTACCACCACAAAAACAATAGTCTATCTCCAAGTTAGGAAAAATAAAATAATGTATCCTAATACTACAGGAACAATAATCTACCAATAATTTATGAATATGGCCATCTCTTTAATGCTAATGTATGTATTCATTGCCTTACCCATCACTCTATAACCATCCTATTCCATAGTGATGCTCAAGCCTGGCTTGTGATGACTTGAGTCTATACAAACCAGCTTAAAAATCACTCTTTTCCCCAGGTCAGGCCCAGAAAATTAGGCCAAGCAGCTAAATCTTAATGGCAGAAGTCAATCTTTTACCTCCAACCTAAAGATACTGTTATGATCGGAGCAGAGGAGGGGTTACTGAAGATTGAACCCAGGCCTTCATACGTTAGGCAGATACTCTACTACTGACCCACATGCTCAGTACTTTTTTAAATTTCATTTTCAGACAGCGTCTTATTAGCTTGCAGCTGGGAAAGGTGACTCACTCTGGTAATCCCAGCATTCTGGGAGGCTGCAGCAGGAGGAGTCCAAGTTCCCTAACTTTCCCAGGTTGGCTTAGAACTTGCTATCCTCTCAGCCTCCCAAGTAGCTGGGATTACAGATTTGTGCCATCACACTCAACTTATATTGGTCTCTCACAAAATGTCTCTTTATGATACGATGCCAAGTTCTAACTGCATGTACTGGATTGACAGATTTAACTCAAGGTTGAACCTTATGACAAATACTTAAAGCATTCTATAATTAAAATCTGAAGGTTTTATTTTTTGTCTTTTTCTTTGTTTTGATTTTTAGATAGGGTCTTGCTATGTAGTTAAACATATTATGCAGCCTCAAACTCACAGCGATCCTCCTGTCTCAGCCTCCTGGTGCTGGGGTTAGAGATATCCACCACCAGGCCCAGGCGAAGTACTTTTAATATTAAAATGAGATATATTTTCGTTTCCAAAGCCACGGCACTAATCGCTCGTACCTACTTTTACTTCTGCATTCTGAATAAAATCTTTCTAAGACACAGCTGCCCCTCCTGTCCCTGCTGTTAACATGCACTGCACTCGTTGAAGCCCTTCTCCAATACTGCTGCTGGGGAAGGCACCCTGGGCTGTTTCTCGCTGAACACAGTGATGCTGTCCATCTCCAAGGCTGCCTCCAGCAGCCTCAGCCCCGCCTCCACTTCAGGTCACTACCGCTCTGGCTCACGGCTACAGTTCTTTCTCCTTTCTTATTTCTGACTCCTTCCTACTTTATTTTCTCCTCTTTCTGCTGCTCCTCCCATGTGGTCAGCTCTCAGGTTTTACAGCTGGACTTCATCAGGTAAAACTACTGAGCCCATGAAGCCTTTCTGCCTAATTACTGTATCTCCAAAGACTTCACAGACCTGACACATAATATGTATCTAAAAGATATTTGCTAAATATTTGGAGATGGAAACAGCCAGCAACTTTATTTCAGCTTCCTCCAGCTGTCTGAAACTCCCAAGACCAACACCTCTAACTCCTACTTCTAACCTGGTTGGGTCATGCTCTCCACCTAAAGATTAACCTTAGAATTAGTATTTCCCAGCTCACATCCCACCAGATATTTCCATTTTGTCCTACGCACCTCCTGGCTGCACCCTAGAGCTAGCTGAAATGCCGTTTATGTTCTTTGTGGACTCTCCCAGTAGACAAACCTGCTTACACTTACAGCCCCAACTGCGGCACACAACTGTCTATTCAAAAAGAACTGCACCAGGGGCTGGGGATTTAGCTCAGCGGCAAAGCGCCTGCCTGGCAAGCGTAAGGTCGTGAGTTTGGTTCCCAGGGCCGGAGAAAAACCAAAAAAAAAAACCAAAAGGAACTGCACCCAAAGGGGCTCCAAGGAAGACTCTTACACCTTGGAATGCCCCTATGACCTATCAGATGTCTCCACGCTTAAGTAGGTACTCATCTGGAAATAAGATGTAACTCATAGAAAAATATCACTCCAGTTAGCACAGCTGTGCTGTCATCAAGAATACAAAAACAATGAATGTGAGTGAAGGTGTAGGGAAAAGTAACCCTCCCATACCGCTGGAGAGAAAGTAAACTAGTGCAGCCATTATGAAAATCAGTATGGAGATGCCTCCAAAAACTAAAATTAAATACACCCTCTGATCCAGCTACACTATTCCTTGGTATATTCCTGAAAGAGTTAAAGACAGTGTATTATAGTGATATATGCATACCCATGTTTATGGTGGTGTAGAAATAGCACAGATGCCCATCAACAGATGAGTAAAGAAAGTGTAGTGTACCTATACAACAAAGCATTACATAGTCTTAAAGAATGAAGTAGTATCATTAGCAGGTAAATGGATGGACTTGGAAACCATGTTAAACAAAATAAACTAGTCTCAGAAAATCAAATATTGCATGTTTCCTGGAGATGGCCCCTTCTGAGAGCTAGTCCTAGTCAATAAAACGCACGTGTGTCTTAAAAACCACATGACAGAAATATGGCTATTTTCAAGATGTGGAGCCAGAAAACTTGAGGGTATGTCAGTGCTACCACGTGGTTAGTTGTGGGTGTCTGGCAAACCAAATAATCTCTCTTCACCCAAAGAAGAAGATAATGATTTCTGTCTTTCCTGCTAACAAAGTTATTATAAAGATCTAATTTATACAATATATGTAAACTTAAAAAAAAATCCATCAGAATGGCTAAAACTAAAAGGGCACACAATATCAAATATTGATGTGGCTACTGTACAACTGGAAATCTCATATACTCCCGGGAAGAATGAAAGCTGCTACAATCACACTGGAAAACTACTTGGCACCGTCAACCAAAGGAAAACACTTGCATACCTTTGCATCCAGTAACTCTACCCCTAGATTTATCTCCAACAGAAATACACAAAAATATGTTTAAATATTCATAATGAAACTGTTTATAACAGGTAGAAACTAAACGCAAATGCTCTCCAAAAGTAGAATGGTAAATACATTGGAGAGGTTCACATACTGAACAAAACGCTACTGTATAAAAACATGGATCAATCTTACATATTCACCAAAAGAAATCCGACAAAAAGACATTTTTTTTTCAAACAGGGTCTCACTATGCAGCTCAGGCTGGGCTTGAACTCACTGTGTAGTCCAGGCTGGCCTCAAACTCATGGCGATCCTCCCTCAGCCTCCTGAGTGCTGGGTTTACAGTCATGTCCACCATACCACACCAAAAAGAAAATTCTTTATGGTTTAATTTTTTTTAAAAATATTCAACAAATAGCCAAAAACTAACCTATGCTGTTAGAAATCAAAACATGGCTAGACTTATAAGGGCACTGCTTGGGATGGAGCACAATGGAGATTCCTCAAAATGCTGCTAATGTCCTGTTTCTTATTCTGAGCACTAATTGCATGAGTCAGCTCTCTTGAAAATTCATTGACTAGAAATTCACCACAACTGCCGTTCTCCATACATTAAATACCAATATTCTTTACTTAAAAGTAAACTGCTATAATGTATAATTTTATTTTGTATTGCAGGCTTTTTTCCTTGAGATTGAGCACTAGCTAACCATAGCTAACCTGGTTTCTAGTGAACAAACTTCCATTGACCATATCTATAATCATTAGTTGACATATTACCCATAGTAGCTCTCAGGCTACAATAGCACATCTGAGTGTTCTGGAGCCAAATATTCCAGTGTCTAAGACATTTAAATATGTTCCTTCAGGAAAAAAGACTGCCAACTCCTGCCCCAGGTAGTCAGCAATGACTCACTTATGAGCTGCCCATTATCAGTGCAATCCTCGCATTCCCATTGGCCTCCACACCCCATGGCTCTTCCCCACAACACATTCAAACTTCATTATGCTAGGGGCGCTGGGCTTTGCATGTACCATGAATTCTTTTCTATGGTAAACAGTTATTATATTTATTCAGTCATAAACTCCTTAAAGCAAATAATGGCTTTTGTCTTTGTCACTGGACAAAAAGATTGGCTGCTCTATGTAACAATCTTCAGAAAACTAATACTATCAGAATGGGCAGTTGTCTTGTTTTTCATCACTGTATCTAATACCTCTGTACATCACATTTTTACCAGCTGCTGAATGTTCTTTGCCAAGTATTTTCAAGCTGATAAATACAAGGATGAACACGAATGCCTTAGTTTGCTGCACAATGATGCAGTTACATATTTTTTACAAAATGTACAGAAAGTGTTTTCTAAGTATGACATGTACTACCAATTTGTGAGATGACTTTAAGTAGTACAAATATAAATAATTTATAGTTATAAGATTGTGTATTTAACGTGTCTAGGTATAACTGACACATCAAAACAACGTGGATTGGCATGAGGACGGACATATAGGCCAGCTGAACAGAACTGAAGAGTCCAGAAAAACCCTCACCTCTACCATCAATTGATTTTTGACAAGAATGCCAAGATAATTCAATTAGGAAAGAACAGTTTTTTCAACAAATGGCTCTGGGCAAGTGGGTAACTACACTTAACAACGAACTCAGACCCATAACCTCACACCATATACCAAAATTAATTTAAATCAGATCTAAGCTCTCAACTTAAGAATTAAAACTCCCAGCACTCGGGAGGTTGAGGCAGGAAGATCACTGTGAGTTTGAGGCCAGCCTGGGCTACAAAGTGAGCTCAAGGCTAGCCTTAACTGCACGTGGAGCCCCTGTTCAAAAAACAAAAAAAAAAAAAAAAAAAAAACTAAAACTATAAAACTCTTAGAAAAAAATAAGCAAACAGTTTCATGATTGCAGACTTGGTAATGATTTCTTAAATATGACACCAAAAGCTATAGGTATGCAAAGAAAAAAATTGGACTTCAGAAATATTGTGTGTCCAAGGCATTACCAAGAAAGTAAAAAGACTAGCTAGAGAATGGAAGAAAATATCTGTAAATTATATCTTGTAAGAGCTTAGTACATAAAGATACATAAAGATGTACATAAAATACATAAAGAAGCCAAGCGTGGGCACATTCCTGTAATTCCAGCACTCGGGAGGCTGAGGCAGGAGGTCTGCTGTGAGTTCAAGGTCAGCCTGGGCTACATAGTGAGTTGAAGGCGTTAAAGGCCAGCTTGAACTGTACAGTGATACCCTGTTTCAAAAGGACAAAAAAAAAAGAATATATACAGATTATTTACAACAACACTAAAAACAAACCACAAAATTTAAAAATTGACATTTAGCCAAAAAACAACCAAATACACAAAGGTAATCTACATCATTAATCACTAAAGAAATGTAAACCAAACCAACAAGATACTACTTCACAATCATTAGGATGGCCCAAAGTAAGAAAAAACAGAAAATATTACTTTTCTCATAACTGACCAAAAAAAAAAACCAAGTTACACATTCTTTTCAAATATACATGGAACACTTACAAAATATGACCACAGAACATAAAACAAGCGTCACCAAATTTCAAACGACTACTATAATTCAAGGTATGCTTTCTGACAACAATGTAATTAAAGTAGAAATCAATAGCAAACAAGGCAATTTTAAAAGCCCCAAGTGTTTGGAAACAAGCCACACCTTACTGAGGAATTTATGAGAAACCCCAAGGGAAATTACAAAAGAATCTTGAACTTAATGAGGACAAAAATAAATCGTATCAAAACTTTAGTGATGCAGTAGAAACGCCAAGAGGCATAACATACAACCGCACACCCATGCTCAGTAAGTGGAGGGTTCCTTCTGTCCTGCACTACCTTGAGCAGACCTCTTCCCAGTCCTGGCTTTAGGTTTCAGTTTTTACAACATTTTCCCTAGGAGCTCTACCTTCAAGGGCTGCTACCTATCGCCATGCAGTGTTTCTAACATTATCACTAACACTCTCCTGAGAGCAACAGCAGAGATCAAGTCTCCGATTCAACTTTGTATCCCCAGACCTACAACAGTATCCACCTCTCACAGCAAGCGCTCAAAATTAGCTGATATCTGGGCACTTGGGGAGGTTATCCCACCCGGGGAACTTAGGAAGACTCTATCTTAAAATTTTTTAAAAAAACAAAAATCTTTAAAAGCTGGAGCTACAGTCCAGTGTAAAGACCATGGATTCAATCTCCAGTATAAAAAAAGAAAAAGTTGTTGAATAAATGGATTCATCCAGAAAAAGGAACCCTTCACCCCTGTTGGTGCAAGTATAGACTGATGCAACCACTATGGAAATCAGTGTGGAGATTCCTCAAAAAACTAAAACTGGAGGTTCCGTTTGACCCAGCTATTCCCCTTCTTGGTATCTTCCCAGAATTAAAAGCATCATACAACAGCAATATATGCACACTCACGTTTACAGCAGTAGTTTCTAACAACTAAATCTTGGAAAGATGAAGGGATAAAGATGTGGAGGTGGTTTTTTTTTACAGTGGCGTACTATTCTGCCATAAAGAAGGATAAGTGTGAGGCATTTCTAGCTAAATGGATGTACCTTGAGACCATACTCTTAAGTGAAAAAAATTGGACACAGATGTTTTAATACTGCATTGTTTCACTGGTGTGAGAAACCAAAAGTACAAATAAGGACCAAAATGTATAACAGATATTGGGAAATGGGAAGAAAATGTTCAAATGAGAAGGAACAAGGATGGAAGGAGTGGAGATGAAAAGAAGGGATAAGGAAAAAAGAGAATAGAAGGAAAAAATGAAAAAAAAGCTTCTGTAAGTAAAGGGAGGGGAGGGGAATGGAAAAAAAGCAGCAAGACATCATGTACAGTTACAAATTCCATATGATGAATATAATCACTATATCTATCTATCTAAAATGTACCAATAAAAAACACCCCTAAAGAAACAGATTCACCCAAATGGTAGGCTTTGCATTTATCAAGGCAGAACAATAAAATGCACGTTCTAAACCCAAATGCAGATCCAAACCCCAGCTCCAACTCGTACTGGGTGGACAGAGCTTCCGAGTCACTTAGCCTTTCTGAACTTCACTTCTGATATCTGTGGAAATCCCTACACACTTAGGAATAAAATTATAATGGGGTGACAAAAAAAGAGACACAATTATTTTATATTATGAGAATCACTAATGAGAGTACTGATACAGTATGCTTCTCAAACATTTTGGTCTCAGGACTCCTTTACATTCTCAAATATAATTGAGGCCCTAAATGACCTTCAGTTTATATGAGTTATATCTCATAGTATTTGCCCTATTAGAAGTTTAAGCAATTTATAAATTATTTATTCGTTAAAATAGGCCTATTCCATGTTAACACATATACATATTTTTATGAAAAAATACCAGTAGGAAGAGTGTCCCCTCCCTGCCCTCACTGAACCCAAGAACACTCTTCCACAGAGCTACCGCTCCAGCACTTTATTTTTTAGTCTGAAACAAGGTCTAGGTTGCCCAGTGAACCACTGTGGTAGAGAATGGCTGGTACAAAGCAGAGCAAGTTACTTTTGACAGATCTGAGGACAGATTCTCTGAAGAAGATGCAACACTCACGGCTTCAGAAGGACAAAAGGAAGTGGGTGACAGATCAGGACAAGGTCAAAGGCCCTGAATGAAAAATGTGGCATTGTCAGTGACTCCAAAGACTGAAGGTTACAGCAAGAGAAGAGAGCTAACAACTGCAAGTTCAGCCAGCGTTCTGCAGGGACGTGGGCCCCTGAGATGGATGAGGGTCCTGTGGTAGGGTTTATGTCAAGGGGATGAAGAGTCTCCTCAAGAGCTTTAATCAGGATGTGGCTGTCAGGTGAAAGAGATCATCCAGGCTGACAAGTGATGGATTTAAGGAGGACAAGACTAGTAGAGAGCAGCATGGTGCACACCTATAATCCCAGCATTTAGAAGGCTGAGGCAGGAGGAGTGCAACAAATTTGAGGCCAGCCTGGCTACATAGTGAGTTCAAGATCAGCACAGCCAGGCATGGCGGCACACACCTGTAATCCCAGCACTTGGGAGGCTGAGGAAGGAGGATCACTGCAAGTTCGAAACCAGCCTGGGCTACAAAGTGAGCTCAAGGCCAGCCTGAACTGCATATCAAGATCCTGTCTCAAAAAAGACAGAAAAAAAAAAGATCAGTTTGAACTTTTAAGACCCTGTCTTAAAAAAAGAGAGAGAGAGAGAGAAAGCAAGCCAAAAACCAGTTGGGAGCCTCCACTTTAAAGACTAAAGGGTAGGGCAAACTGGAAATACAATTCTGAGAAGCTATAGGATTATGAATAATACAGTTGAAACAAAATTATCCTTAGGTTTGGGGCCTGAAAACCCTGGTAAGCAGTGACTCCAAGTCTTAAGATGAAGAATACTGGGAAAAGAATAGGTTTCCAGTCTCCAGGCAATGGAATTTTTACATTCTCTTCTGTCTTCTTCCACGCAGCTGGGTGACACTGCGCGTTACATCCATGATTCCTGGCATAAGCCCTATTAACAAAAAAAATCAAACCACTAGCAAAATAAGGTTAAGGCCAAAGCCGCAAGAGGCAATAAAGACACCACCAGCCTCTGGCGAAAATTCTGAGCAGTTATCATATATTTGGAAATCAGCATTATCTGCCTTACCAGCCACCCAGCAATGCTCCAAGCAGTCCAGGAGAGTGCCACCAAGTGCATAAGCTTCTGCAGAAGTCCAGGTACACCACATCCACGACCTCGCCTTTACTTCCACACCTGGCAACTTCGTCAAGTACAGGAAGACTACAGCTGCTGGTCTGTCTGCTCCTAAACTTCCACAGATACCCACCCATCACCTCCTTCTTCGTAAAGTACTCTAGGGACAAACTTAACATCGTCTGTTGCATTTCCAGACCTGGCCTTATTCTGGCATCTGCATCTCTGCTCCTTTCAAGCTATTAATGAGCTTCAGTGAGCTTAACCCAAGGAAAGCCAACAGTGAGTCACTAACCCACGCAGCCAGCTACGAGCACAAAATCAAGAGGAAATCAACGCGCAATCCACCTCCCCCAGTCAGATTCCTAGGCCTGCATCTGCCTTCCAAGTGCCCGTGCAGAATTCTTTGCAAACCTAAGACCACCCTGACTGCACAGACTGCCAGGAGCACTGAAGGCTGGTGTCCTAGCACTCCCAGGTAATTCCCTAGGCCAGAAATGAAACACAGTAATAAGGCTCTGTGCCTCCGTCCAGATCACTGCCCTCCACCTCCAAAAAAAGTACAAAATAAGTGGGCGCCTGTTTTCCCTGTACAGTAAAACCCAATCGCTCTCACCAAACGGAGGAGGATTAAACCCCTTTACTGGGAGACAAAGTGAGGGCATGTTTTTCATCAAATTGCCAGTTTTAAAATTATGTACATCTCCCCTTCCTTTGTAAAACAAAACGAGCTATTTCATAAATTTAGCCAAGTGCGGCGGGCACCAATTCCAGAGAGGAACTCTGCCCGACGCCTGTGAGCAGCAGGGCTCCCCGCAGTCCTGGCGCCCCGCGCTCAGGCACAGGCTCGACCGCAGCCCTCCGGGACACCCGGCCGCGGCGCGCAAGCCCCGAGCGGCGGAGGCTCTGGTCGGCCGGGCGG